GCACATTCACAAATTTTTAAAGTTTATTATTTTCGCATGTTTTTTGGCATTGTTATTATAGGCGCTGCTCATGGACTTATATTTCTACCTGTTCTATTGAGTTTTATCGGTAAAACTTTGGAACTTTTTATTTTCACTTTTTACTTGTCATCTATATGAATGATGAAAGAGCATTATCGCTGGTTAATTACAGGTCCGTCTGTAAATAAGCGGAAACTGTTGATAAAAATGAAAGAAGAGAGGTGTTGTCCCGGCAGCAACGAATGTTCTCTTAGCGCAAAATGCAATGTTAAGGAATCCTCTTTAATGGATAATGTATTTTAAAAGTATTTAACGTGCTTTAATTACGGCTGCAATTATTACCTAAAAATTTGCGTTTGTAACAACAGAACTTAGCGGGTTTTGGATCTTTCGCTCTCACAGAAATTCAGAATGTGAGAGGAACCATCGGTTTTGTTGCTCTCAGGTCGTTTATTGGGTGTTGTGAATATGAGGTCTATTTCCATCAGTGATATGTTAGTGAGAACGCTTCAGTATAGAACTATATCTCCTTGTCTTGATCTTCAGAGATTTATTTCCTTTTTACTTTTTTTTAACTATTAAATTGAAGAATTTTGTGTGTTTTAGTAATTTTGTTCATTGTTGTCTATCAGATGGCAGTATAATTGACTGTCGTTGTTTTTTCTGCCTAGTTATGGCAGTTAGTGCAGCTAAGAGTTATACGATGAAAAAGTGGACAAAGCAAATATCTTTCCGTTGTTCAAAATGTGTTGCTAACAGTTTTAACTATTATTTACAAAATCGGGTAAATTTTTTTCTTTCTTTTTTTTTTTTTTGAATCAATGCTTTATTTATTTTATTTCTTTTTATTCTTAGACAATTCTTTTGTAAATTTTCTTTAATAAGTTAATATTATTGAATTTATTATTGTTGTTATTATTATTACTATTGTAATTGTTTTTCTTCTTGTTACATCGTGGAGTTATTTGATCGACATTTTCGAGCAGTTTAATGTAAAAAAAAAAAGTTCAAAAAAAAGGAAATTAAAGAAACTGCTCGGAATATTAAAATTTTGCGGAGGACGAGTAGAGCTCATTTGAAAAAGAGAAAAACTATAACGAAAAGCTAAATGATGATGGAAAAATTGCACTTGTTATTTATGTATAAAATTTCATTTGCAGACGAAGAGTACTTATATGATACTGTTGTTCTAATGTGAGAAAAAGTATGACATTTTAGTTCTGTAATAACTTATCTTTACCACTGTGCAATCGTTTTCACCTGTTATGTTAAGCTTTAAAATGCAAGTGTATAAAAGTCTTTCAGGTATAATCTTTTTCACGTTTTTAACTTGTTTGTTTTTTTCGTTTTTTTTTCTCATTTTTCGTCATCATTTCTCCTCTTAACTTCGGGTGAAGTCATTGTTTTCGTTGCAAGCGTAATTGTTCCATGCAGTAAGCTTCGATTAGTATGTATAATTCACCAAAGTGTACTGATTCTCTTGATCAGTTAACATCGGTTAGGTCACTTAGACCACAGTAAATGTTATTAAGTATTATTCAGAATTGTCGTTGAGTTCG